CTGTTGAGATTTGTTGAGTGATTTTTCTGCATCAATTGAGATGATCGTGTGTGTTTTTTTTCCCTTCCATTCTTTTAATGTGGTATATTATGTCAATCATTTTTCATATATTAAAGTATTCTTGCATTTCAGGAATAAATTTAACTTGATCGTGAGTGATGTATAATCCTTTTAGTACACTGCTCAATTCAGTTTGATATTATTTTGTTGAGGTCCAGAACTTCTCTTTGGTGGAGGTTTTTGCTGAGATTTTTGATTCAGTTTTTCAGATTAGTTATAGGTAAGGGGCCTGGGTGGCTCAGTCGGTTGAGCATCTGACTTCGGCTCAGGTCATGATCTTGAGGTTCGTGAATTTGAGCCCTGTGTTGGGCTCCGTGCTGCCAGCTCAGAGCCTGGAGCCTGCTTTGGATTCTGTGTCTCCCTCTCTCTCTGCCCCTCCCCCACTCGTGCTCAGTCTCTTTGTCTCTCTCTCAAGAGAAACTGGGGACTTGACCATCTGGCATACATGGCTCTAGACTCACTTCCTTTTAAATCCTGTACCTGGCACTTCCTAGCTGTGTGGCCTTGGGCAAGTTGCTTAACTCTTCTGTGCCTCAGTTTCTGTATCTGTAAAATAAGAATAATAGTAGTACTAAACTCATAGTGTCATTGAAAGTATGTATTAATTAATACATGTTACATATCTGACACATAGTAAATTTGCTCTTAAACTGAATGATTCTCAACACTTCATTGGGCGAGTGTTTCATTTGTTTATTTAACAAACAAACATAGACTCTATGCCAGACTTTGGCTCTAAGTGCTTAACACAATCACTCCTGGAGCCTTCACAACAACCTTATTGGTTGGAAAGTGCTATTATTATCCCCATTAGCAAATGAGGAAATTAGGGTGCAGAGAAGATTAGTGACTTGCCCAAGTAAGTGGAAGCTAGGATTTGGATCCAGATAAAGTGTGTGTGTGTGTGTGTGTGTGTGTGTGTGTGTGTGTACAAATGTATGTATTTATGAGAGTGGGCGCAAGTGAGTGAGAGAGAGAGAGAGAGAGAGGGAAGCGGAGCTCACCCAAAGAGGGGCTTAAGTCTGTGTTTTAAATTTTTATGTTATGTGGACTTTTGCAAGCTCTCTTGGCAGACCTCTCTCTTCTCATCAGCACAAAAGTCACAAGACACTGGTGATAAAGTAATGTAGGCTGATCCTAGCAATGGAGAAATTAATATCAAAGACGAATGGGGCTTTACAAAAATCTTCACATAGATGCTACAGAAAATTAGCTATATAGATCCTCTCCCACCTCCACAATCACCCAGCCTTCCAGAAATGTGTGTGTTGGTGGAGTGCAGGAGGCTCCTGCAATTCCACAGTGATCTGCTTCTGTCTATGCTACCTGCAGCAAAAAGAAAGGGAAAAAGAAAGTACCACTTGAATAGGAATTCAGTCATAATGTTCTAAATGTACCCAACTTATGGCTTGGGGCAGAACTCCCAGATCTGTCACAGCCAGAACGATAATTACATTCTGAGTGTTTGAAATCTATTCTGCTCATCGTCTGCCCTGTGCAGGGGCTCTGGCATTCCCAGAGACCAGGAGGAAGAACCACCAGTCAAATAGCTACCAGCTTCCAACTCGAACATCTTCAGAGGTAGGTAGAGGTCAGAGTCTTGGGGCTAGAATTGGGAACTTGCAAACACTTTTGTTTGTGGTTTGGTTGGATGAGTTCCCTGTCTAAATCATGCCTCCAGATCACGCCAACCCTATGCCTACATGGAAGAAATTATTGTCCTTTTTGTTCAAATGGAGAAACTAAGAGAGAGAAAGATGACGTGGATAGACACTGTGTCCCTTCATGCATGATACCCTGACAAGGATACTATGTATTGATTACGTAATATTCCCACTGAGCATGTATAACCTGAGTCTAATCATAAGAAATTTCAGACAAAGCCCAAAATGAGGAATGTTCAACTAAAAGAAAAGTTTGGCTCTGCTATTCAAAAATTTCAATGTTGTATAAGACAAAGGACATTACTGGGTGAATTTGTAAAATGGAATACTGATAGCAGCTTAGATAAGTGTATAAAAGTATATTTTGTCAAAGTTAAATTTAATGAAATTGATAATTGTGCTATGATCACTCACCAGAACTAATTCCAAAAAGGTCAAATAGTTAAAAAAAAAAAAAGACCACAATAAAGTCAACGAGGTCAATGTTTACTCTTCTGGAGAAGAAAAGAGAGTCTGAGCTTAATAATCAAAATAGCGGCCATTTATTTTGTGCATTCCATGTGCCAGACCCTATGCGTGGTACTTTCTACACTCAACATTTGCAATGTGGATTATAATATCACCTCCATGTTACAGGTAGGGAAACTGAGGCTCTGAGAAGTTAGGTGGTAGGCCAATTTCAAAATTTCAATTAAGCTCAATGCGTTGGGGTCAGGTTTCAAGCCCAGGTCTCTCTGATTCCAATGCGCATGTTTTGTTCTCTGTCTTATATGATATTGACAGTCTTCAGTGTGGTAACGAGTGGGGGGGAATTTCCCTTTTATGGTGAGACAAGATGAGCATCCTATTTGCAGAATAAACCAATTTTAATGGAGAAGAAAACTGGCAACAACTATGTAGGGTTCGTAATAGGCAGTACCCTTTACTCAGGACTTCTGGAGCTAGACATTTGTGCTCTGAAGCTAATACTGGATTTAACTGAATTTCAGTTGCAATATTCCTACTGACACTTTTTCCTAATGAAGAGAAATTTTCAGATATTACAAATTTTCAGATACCTTATGATCAATGGGGAAGTATGAATGCTATATGTAACTAGAATATTGGGAAAATATTCACAGAGAGTGTTATTGATAGTATGGTGAAAAGCTTGTCCTTTGTCTCATTTAAATTTATTTATAAAAGCTACTTTTTTTCCCTACCTCCCTGTGAGACCTTGGGTGTAGAACTTGACTTTTCTAGACTTTAGAATATACAAAAAGAGTCTGAGCCCATGCAATAGTCAAAATACTAAAATTGAATTGAAATTGTGGCTTCCCCCACACCAAGAAACCTGCAACTGGGGAAGAGAGTGGACAGTTTCCTCTTCTCCTGCAGCTGGCTAAGTGCCATTTTGGAGGTGGGAGGAGAGAGAGGAGGAGAGGGGGTCAGGATGGTTCTTTCTGGCAGGGAGGATTGTACCTTTGTGCTTTGTGCTTTCTGGGCTTAGTATTGCTTAAAGTTTACTCTATTGTGGGTGGTTTCAAGGATTCTTTGAGTTTTCCCCCTACCCCAACTGATGCAAGTTTCTCACCTGTGGTTCTCTTGATATGGCGGAATCTACCTCCTTTCTGATACCTTTCCCAGGCCCTAGGCATCTGGCTACTCACTTTCTACTTCTTTATGCTGAGGTCCCCTGGCCTTCCCAGGCAGCCCGCCTGACATGAAGCTAGTGCAAACCTACACTGGCTTTCTTCCATATGTTGCCTTATCAAATGCCATAGCACAAGCTGTAGTCTCTTGGTTGTGGCCATAGGTCATTTCAGCCAGTGTCCTACCCTTTGTTTCTCTGGTGTGACTCAGACACCTGCTACTATGTCTCCACAAAACCTTGGGGGTGCATAAAAAGCTCTATGGGAGGTATTCTTAAAGCCTTTCTGGTGACTTGGAATTAAAAGAGCACAGCAGTTGGGGCACCTGGGTGACTCCCTCAGTTAAGTGTCTGACTCTTGATTTCAGATCAGGTCATGATCTCATGGTTCTTGATTTTGAGCCCTGCATTGGGTTCTGTGCTGACAGTGCGAAGCCTGCTTAAGATTCTCTCTCTTTCCCTTTCTCTCTCTACCCCCTCATCTCTCTCTCT